AACAGCTTTTCTGGGCACTATGTGCTTTAATCCAGCCTGCAAAGCTGGAGCAGTTCTGTCAAAGAGCCCAGTGTGCCTCCCCATTGACGGCTTCAGCTTGTGAGCGCTCCAGGAGCAGTGGCGACCCACCTCGTGCATCGTGAGGTGATAAAAAAAAAACAGCTTGCCGTCTCTCCGAGTCCAAAATTTAATTTAAATGACCAAAGAGGTCAAAGAGCTTGTTCAAAACACTGAAGTGTAATTTGAGCCCAAGAAGGCGTAAGCCTTTGTGAACTATTCTAGGAAGCTGTCGCTGACGATGATGCCCAGGAGCCTGCGTGCTGTCAATCTGCGCTCCCGCATGCTGGGCGCCCTGTGGTCATGTGTTGTGAAGCCTCGCGGCTCGGTTTTCATGTTTTAAAGCAAAGACCGCCCCCCCCCCCGACCGCGCAGGTCTGCCGGGCGCTTGTTCCTCACGAGCAGGTGGGCTTCGGCGGCGGCGAGTTCAGGGTGGGGGTGCCCGAGGGGCTTTGGAAAGCAGTGGGGTTGGGGTCTGGGGGGCTGGGGGTGGGGGAAGCGATACTTTGTGGGCGTCGCACTGCGACCTTGGGCCTCGCAGAGGGCAGGGCTGGATTCCTGCCGAGACATGTGGCCTGGAGTGACGGGCACAGCTGGGCGCAGTTGCTAAAGAAGACATTCCTCTGGCTGGGAGAAGGAGCCACTCCGCGCCGCGCCATGCCAACGCCTCCAGCCCCGGTGAGCACCGGCTTTCCAGGCGGGTCGCACTCAGGCCTGGTTTGGAGGAAGCCGTCCCCTTAATTCCTCCGACGGGCCATGAGCCAGTCGGCCTCCTCTCTGAGCTCGGCCACCTGGAGTTTCGCCGGCTTCCTTGTGGAAGCACCGTGATTGTCCAGACCTCTCTGCTAATTCCTGAACGCTAGATCTGGTTTCTCTGTCGCCCTTGAGCTGAATGAGTGGGATTTGTGCTTTCCTGACAAAGCTGTGGCAAGAGCTCTTTATTTTCTTTCAGCTGTGGAGTTCCCTAAGGCAATATCGGGCTGAACCCTGCTCCCTAGTGTCTGCGTTTCTTTCCACGCCGCAAGTGGATGAGTATTTTTATGAGGCAGTTTGGAGCAGACATGGGCCAGGACCAAACCAAGCAGCAGATCGAGAAGGGCCTTCACCTGTACCAGACCAACCAGACTGACAAAGCGCTGCAGGTGTGGCTGAAGGTTCTGGAGAAGACCTCTGACCCAGGAGGGAAGTTTAGGGTTCTGGGCTGTCTTATCACGGCCCACTCCGAGATGGGCAAATACAAAGAGATGCTGAAGGTAAGAGAACCATCCCTGTGCTTCTATCTACACTCTGTTCCAAGCTGAATTTTTCTCCCTCTGATATACACACCAACTGCAAACTGCAGAAAAAGCATTGATCTTTCATGTGTTCTTAACCTGACGCTGCATGCTACGTTAATTTCCAGAACCCTGTTTCATGAACATTCCTCTTTTCTTCTTCGGTTAAACTCCTTTTATTGGCTAAGTAAGAAATTACCTGTACTGCCGCCTCCGGTACTAAAGCACATCCATTACAATCGCCACACATTTGAACTCTGTCCTCTTTTCCTCAACCACCACAGTCCCTGCCTCTCAAGCAGAAAAACGAAAAGACACAAAATCAATTTCATCGCTCGTTTCTCCAAACTAATCCTCCGGTCGATCCTTCTCGGAAGTCTGTCATTCATTCGGAACCAATTGCTGCTCTCCTCCTCCCGTATGGAAAAGCATATGGAAACCTTTTCCCACTCAGAGGGTTTCTTCCTTTGCTATTGGTCATGTAACTGATCATAAAGGGAAAAAAAATCAGAAACCCTTTATCACTTCAATACACAAAGACTCAAGAATGTCACAATGATGACAAGAATTTGAGCATGAAACCCAGGGGCTGGGAAATGCAGTTCCTTTCCTGTTAGAAAAATGAGGGATTTTAAACTCCTTGTATTAAGTGGTAGCACAAAACTGTCTTTGTTTTTCAGTTCATTTGAGATACTGGAGCGACTGGCTTCCTTAGAAACCTTGTCATTGTGTGCTCTGTCCATGCACTGAGTGATCTCATTTTATTAATACTGAATCCTTTTTTTTCCCCCCAACTTCTGGCTGTCCTCTCTGTCAAACCCTCAGAAGGAGGTAGATTCTCACTGTCTCCATGAGAACTGTGCAAGCAGTCAGATGGGCAGGCTTTCAAAGCACAGACACTCCTGCCAAGAGCTCGCCTGCTTCTTGTGCTTTTACCTCCATTGGGCACAGGGGAAAGGAGCTCAGCTTTGGATTTTTTTCAAACTGGCAAGTTTTAAGTTACAAAACAGATTTCGTAGAGATCTGTGGGATCTGAATTAGATTTTCATGGAGCGTTGAATAACTGCAGTCTGTACATATACAGTACATGCCCGTCATCTGTACAGAAACAGTATCTGTTTCAATGCACACTGACAGATTATATCAGTGCAAATGTCAAGTGGGTTCAGAGTTATTGTGCTGGCAGACAATAAAACCCTCTCTGTGCGTACATGTATTTCTGAGTAAAGAAATGGCAGAATATTGGAATATATTGGAAAGGCTTTAGTAAAAGACAATGCGAGCCCTGTCAGAACTGGATCCAGGGACAGACGTCAGACTGCACAAGCAAGGAATACATTTCTAACAATATGAATCTGAGCAATTCCTAATGTTTTGGACTCCTGGGGTCATGACTGGGTGTTCTTTGGTGGTGGGGGGTCTTTGTTTTTCATTCACATCTGCTAAGAAATGTATGAGATGTATTCTCCAAGAAACTATTTTTTTAACTTTCCTTTCTGGAAACTCTATTCTCCAGTGAATTGTTCCCTGTGAAGAAGGGCTCTCAGATCGTTGAAAATGGGAAATCCTTTGAAACCCTACTGGTGTGGAGTCAGAAAAACAATATAAGCACCTTGTTCTACTGTGCTGTACCTCCACAGAGCTCCTTCCCCCCACTGTCACTATACTATACAGACGATGTAATGCAATAAGTTCCCAATGCCCCCAATTTGGAACTCACAGACTTTAAGAGGAGACCTGATTATAACTGAGCTTGATATAGTACCTTGTCCTGAATTCCTCAGCTAATACAGTTCATGTGTCTTGGTGAGTCAAGCTTACTTGCAGAAATTTCATTGGGTTTGTAGGCCAAGAATACTAGATCAGGCCCAGGCTGATTTACATCCAGCCACCTCCTGGCTACATGTGCTCCACTGCAAGTTCAGAAAGTGTTTTCCATGATGTGGCCTTTACCACACTTTCACATTTTCCCACCTGCCTCTCGTCACATCCGTCAGGATGCAGGAGCTGGTTTCTTGTTCAGGTACTGCAGTAAGGATGTCGCGTGATCCCAGTGGTGGAAAAAAAGGAGGCACTAGAAGATGTTCTTATTTCATCCCGTTCTGCCGCTGATTCGCTGTCTCTTTCTGTGTATAAGTTACTGAACCACTACTTTCTCTACCTACTGGGCGCAACACTAAACCCAACATCCCAGTTGTCAAATTCCCTGAACACATCTGCTAAATCAGAACAAATGTGGTTTAGGAGAGTGGTGCATATTGCCTGATTACAGCCTTGCATGGAACTGCTGTGCTCCGATCACACTTGCCTGCTCTCTGCTAGCATTAGTTGGCTGTGGACTATTGCACCACTGATATCTGTGGACCTGCAGAGACCTGCCTAAGGTCCAGAGAACACAGGGCTCCTGATCATTGCTTTGTCTGAACAGGGTTCACCTCATGTCAAAGTAAGCTCATCATTAGAGTAATTGTGCTGCGATATCTCTTTTTTTTGGTAGGAAAAGACAAATATTTTCACAGACGAAACTCAATAAGATTGAACCAGATGATTTTGTAGAGATCTTTCTCCACAGCAACCTTTTTTGTTTTTGTCCGATGCTTTGTGCATCCCACGCCTGTGCTTTGGAGGGCGTGGGATTGCACCGGAAGGAGCTCATGCACGAGAGTGAGGCCAGTGGTGCTTTGTGTTGCAGTACGCTCTGGCCCAGATCGACACGGCCCGGGAGATGGAGGACCCGGACTACCTCACTGAAGGCTACCTCAACCTCGCGCGGAGCAACGAGAAGCTGTGCGACTTCCAGAAGACCGTCTCGTACTGCAAGACCTGCCTGAACATGCAGGGCACCACCATCAGCCTGCAGCTGAACGGCCAGGTGTGCCTCAGCATGGGCAACGCCTTCCTGGGCCTCAGCGTGTTCCAGAAGGCCCTGGAGAGCTACGAGAAGGCGCTGCGCTACGCCCACAACAACGACGACAAGATGCTGGAGTGTCGAGTCTGCTGCAGCCTGGG